TATTTTAGCGTCCTGTTGCACTGATTTTCGTCCATGATATGTATGCAGTGTCCGTCTTGTAGTGCACTCAGTTTCACCTGTTATTTCACGACATGTTTCGGCAACATAGTGCCATCATCAGGTGCTCCATTTACGCTAATCTATTTCATTGCTTGCCATTATGTCATTGTAAAATTATTTAAAATTATTTAAAAAATGTTCGTCAACTATAATAAATTCTTTTTTTATATACACTAAAAACTTTTTAAGATTATCCATTTTTTAAATACTTTTTAAATAATTTTACAATGACATATAATGGCAAGCAATGCAACAGATCAGCATAAATGGAGCACCTGATGATGGCACTATGTCCCGAAACATGTCGTGAAATAACAGGTGAAATTGAGTGCGCTACAAGACGGACACTACATACATATCATGATATATACATGCTTTTGTGTCACTGTTATCATGATGATCTTCATAGCAAGAGTGTATATAACAGTTTAAACCTCTAATTGTATTGCATAAAGCAGTTGGAAATAATATGTAACTAACTTTTCAATGAGTTAAAGTCACTTTTTGTTTTATTCAGGTCTCTTGGAAGCAAATATATCATTGAAATAAGATATTGTATGTCTGTATCTCAGTTGCTGGTGTATTTCTAAGGTACATCTCTCTCTCTCTCTTTTTTTTTCTTTGAGGATTTGTTGTTGTTAAGGTTTTGCAGTTCATGATGCTAAAAATGCAATGCATTGGAACCCCAAGTTAATGTTCCTTGATTTTAATGTTCAACTTCAGTGATCCTAAATCAGTAACTTGAATGTTAAAGTACCTCCATTTAATGTTTTCCTCAGTTTAATGTTCAGATCCACTGCTTGTAAATCAAGCCCTACAAGGGGGTGTCATTATGCATGATAAACCCTCTCCTCATGTTAGAATCATTGATTGTAAAGACATTTTAGAAACTGGTTCATGTTTTTAGATATGTTACATCTCTGATTTTGTACTTGTGATAATTAGCATTATGTCATACATCATAATTACATGTCCACTTTTCAGGATTTCGTTGTTGCTACTGCTTTTATTGGAATGCGGCTCGAAAGCAGCGACCACAAGCGCCTAGGCTTCCTTCAACTACTGGAAGGTCGGAGTTACCTGAACACACATCTGCCTCTGAGTTAGAGAGTTCCTCAGACACAGAAGAAGGTAAGCAACTCTGCGTCTCTTCACAACTGGTCATCATCTTGGTTTTAAAGGGTCTGGACGATGGTGTACAATGCTCATAATGACTGGGTTTTTGGACTTTGTCCATTCTGTTATTCTAGAAACTAGGAAACAACGTTTCAGAAACTGGATCTGTTTCTGAAATATTGCATTTTCTAGAGTCTAGAATACCAGACGATGGACAGAGTCTGAAAACCTAGTAATTCTGGTCATCATCTTGTCTTTCACCCTACTTTTTAGACATTCATTACAGTGTAAAAAAGGAATGCCTTATATGGAGGACATGGGGGTATGCAGTAGCATAGTTGGTTGAGACACTGTGCTACAAGCTGGATGGTTGTGGTTTGATTCCAGATGAGGTCATTTAAGTTTTCAATTGACCTAATCCTTCCAGCTGCACTGTGACCCTAGGGTCAACTCATCCTCTAACATAAATGAGTACCAGAAATCTTCCCCAGGGTAAAGGGCAGCTGGTGTGCAAGGCTGATAACGCCAACACCAACTGTGAGCAGATTGTCTAGAAAATGTGGGAGCCTGAACGTCTCATAATGATATGGGCCTTCATGTCCTATTACAAGGATTACTTTTCCTTATATGGAGGGCATGTATGTCTGCCTGTCTGCGACCTAGTAATGAGGGCCCAGGTTGTTGAACAGGTTGTCATAATGAAGAGAGAAATCTTCTGGGATGTGCTGTGTAGATATTGTGTTAACTGACATTTCGGAGGAACGTATTGCCTCCATCTTCAGGGAGGCAAAACATAGGTTAACCCAATATCTGCATGGTGCCACATCCCAGAAGACTGCTCTCTTCATAGTCACTGCTGTGTAGACCTCAAATCTTACACAGGTTGTCATAATGTTAATTGAAAGTTTTTGGGCTCTTCTGATTTTCAGCCATAGTGATCTAGAATAAAATATATTTTATACAGAACCCATGAACTGTTTCACTAGTTTTTTTTTGATATGGGTGACTTTCACTAGTTTTCATTTCCTTATTCCCATTTTTAAGTAAGTTTAATAAACTTCAAAGAATGCTATGGGTAATTTTGTGTACTACACTGTGAAATACTCCCTTTCCAGTCTCATTCTCTAACAAGGAACATCTTAGTCTTACCATGTTTGATTTTATGGCTACGCAGGCAAAAGCAGCATGGACTGTGCTTAATTCGCCCATTCCCCACCCCATCCCATATCAGCCAATTCCATACAGCAGAACTCCTTTTTGGGAAGCTAATTGCCCATCGGCTAGTCATGAAATTCTCTATCCTTTATTCAACTCAGAGGTTCATTACTGTTTTCCTACAGCCCCACCATAGGTCCCTGTCCTGTCCAATTCTCACACCCTGTTTCTTTCATACCAGTTTTAATATTATCCTCCAAGCTTTCCTTCAGGTCATCTGACTAAAATTTTGTGTACGTTATCATTGCACCAAAGTGTATTGAAGGTTTAATAGTGGGTGTTCTCATAATATTTTGTGGTCAGCATATGTTATGTTTCAGTTCATAGAGAAATGTTTCAAAGGAAGTTTGTAAACATGGTTGATATACTGTACTGTGTGAGTAATGAAGTGCTGTATATATGGACTCCCTGAATGACTGATATGGTGTGACACTGTGGCAGCAGTAAAAGAAATTATTATTACAGAATTAAATTTTTTAACTAAATAGCATTTTCTTTAAATTTATCTCTGCTTTGTAGTAATAAATGCTATGTCACCTGCCATGCCAAGCTTTACATAGTCAGGCAAAATAGCCTAAATTTTCAATTAAAATGGTAGTTACTCTTAGGATGCTTGCTGACTTATCATAAATACAACTGGAATAAGTTTCACAGGATACCAGAAAGATGTTAACTGCTTAATAAATTAAAAATTACTTTCTTTGATTCACAAATTAAGAAGCTTATTTTCATATATCCACTAAGCATTTAGCATGATTTTAAGAATTTTAATGTATATTGAAAATAAATATGATTTTTACAATGTTCAGAAAATTAAAAAAAAATATATGCATATAAGAGAAATGTGAAGCAAGCATGGTGAGTGTAGTTGGAACAGATTTATAGTAATGCTTTGTTCCAGAATCTGATAGTGAGCAGTCATCTGACTCAGGGCCAATAACAGAGGATGGTGGCACAAAAATCGCAGAAGTTGGTGAGTGCAAGTACATTTTGAGACATCTTGCATGTATGCGACAACATGCTAAGAAAAAATTACAGACCTCACGTGACTTTCATGGGTACTTTGACTTATGACTTCTCTGTGTCAGAGCATAGTGTAAAAATGTTGAATGGGATATTTAGGTTCACAGGTTACTGGGTATTGCATGCCCCAATTTATCTCTTAGTGTTAATGTTTGTTCTGACTGTGTACACTGCTTAAATCTTCATCACAAAGTACAGCACACAGCTGCTGCTGTAATCAATGAAAGTCAACCTTCTTCGTGCCAGATTAGAGAGATATTTACTTTATTATGCTTTTGAAATTGGCTTGGCAGCCATATTGCAACTTGAAGTTAATGAGATTAATGTTGAAAAATGCAGTGCTTAATCAGCTTGACCATGCACATGTGCCATTTTAATCATGCAATGTGCTGCCAGTAACAGTGTAATATTATATCTTAGAAATTAAAACTTCCAACAGTTTTCCTGGAATGTGACAATGAGAAACATTTTCCTATGACTTTTTAAGAATGGTTTAGGTTTTTAACAGTATGCTAATGAAAGGCCTGTTGAAATCAAAGGTAAACTGAGAATATTAATACAGTAATTATGTTTCCTATAGGCTGATTCCCAAGAATGCTATTTGTTATTAGAATACGTACAAATATGATTTAGAGTGGAATTATTTAGAAGAAATAGTAAAGTTTCTAGGTTTGACATAATAAAGGGCAATGTGATTGATGCACATTTAGACTATAACATCATTATTCAGAAACAACTTATGGTTATTGCATTACTAATTAAGGAAATATTGGGAAAAAATTCCTCTGTAATCAAGTCCACAGATTGCATTAATAAAGCCGTTTTATGCTCATGGAATAATGATATTGACCCTGTCAATGAGGATATTCTTTATAGTCTTTGATGGACAAATTGAGATAAATGTAGCTCCATTCTCTATAGGCCTTCTGCAAATATACATTTCAGGTCATATACAGTATATTGCTGTTTATCATCTAGTAGGATCTTCTGTCAAGATGACTGATGGCACCAGACATACGAGGTGTGTTCAGGAAATAACGGGAATTTTAAAATTTCGCGGGTTTGGAGAGTCCAATTGTCAAAATTTTTTTTTTATTATGTTGGTATACATGCCCCTGAAGTACAATAAAATTTTCAGCTGTATTCATTGCTTACTTTGTCTGTGGCAGCCGCTAAGGTTAGACGTGTTTTTATGAGCTTGGCGATTTTCGTTTGTTAAAAGAAATGGATCAAAGAATTTGTATCAAATTTTGCGTAAAAAATGAAATAAAGTGTTACAAAGTGTGTGAAATGTTAACAAAGGCCTATGGTGAGTCTGTTATGAGTAAAACAAGAGTTTACGAGTGGTATAAGCGT